TAGCTTAAAATGAAGTCTTACTCTTGTATATTGTGGAGGGTGTGTATAGGTTTGTGGGGGTCTGTGGGTATGTGGGGTGAGGGAGCATGTTGGTATGTGTGTGGATATGTGGCGTGTGGTTACGTATGGGGCTTGGGGGGCAATGTGTGGGGGGGTATGTGGGGTGTAGGTGGCTAGGGTTTGTGTATGGCAGTGTGCGGGGAAGCGTGGGTGCATGTGTATGGTGGGGTGTGTGTGTGTGGGACTCACCCTATGAACACACACACCCTGCCCCTGCAGATGCACATACACACTGTGCCCCTATGCCTGCAGACACGCACACACTCTACTCGTGCCTGCAGACACACACACGCACACACACGCACGCACTCTGCCTCTGTACCTGCAGGCACACACACAAACACATGCCCCCTGCCCCTGTGCCTGCAGACACGTGCACACACGCCCCCTGCCCCTGTGCCTGGAGACACACACACGTAAACACTGCTACCAGCACAGTCCCGTGCTCCACGGTTTAGGGATGCAGCCAGGAACCACCTGGTGCTGGAGCAGGGCAGGGGCAGGAAAGCAGGGTACTGGCTGGGGGTGGGCAGGGCTCAGCTGCTCAAGTCTGCTATGGGCTCCCTCTGGGTCCTACTGCCCCTGGCTCCAGTCAGCTTTGATAGGGAGCCGGGGCAAATAAATATTAATTTACTACATTTTTTAGGGGCTTTGCGGGCCGGATAGAATGGCCTGGCAGGCCGGATCCAGCCCACAGGCCGTATTTTGCCCACCCCTGCTATAAACACACTTTTAAGCAGCACTTTTTACCTACATATATATTGAATTTTATTAGTAGATGTTTAGGTTTGTGAATCCAAAAAGATGACAAAAGCTAGTAGGGAAATGCAAATTGCCCCAGCGAGGGACTAACGTTAGAGGGACAGGGGTGAGGATGGGAACCATAACTAAGTTACATAGAGGGGGTGGTGGAAGGGGAAGGGAGAGGGTTCACGATGCTGAGAGAGAAAGAAGATAGGCACTCACAAACTCGTACAGTGGTCCGCAGTGGTGGAGGAAGTAGGTCAAAGAAAGTGTCTCAGTCCATATTGAGGGGGTCCTATTTAGGTGGAGTGGAGTGGTCCATTGCTGAAGAATCCTCTCAAAGTGAAGTTCATCTGGTGCAGAGTGGGGTTCAGGTCCTCTGGGTCGGGTCCAGCGGCAGTCTGTCCGGTGGGGTCGGAGTACTGGAGGTGGCCTGTGATGTGCTCCACATAGATGTCGTGGGACCAGCAGATGGTGCTGGAAACCATGAAGCAGCGCATCATCTTGGTGTAATGGCGGGAGACACGGCAGGCACACAGGACGCTTTCGTTGCTGGGGCTCCAAGCGTTCCTATGATGAGCGCATACCGTCATGTCGTAGTCCCGGCCCCTTAGGACGTTGGCCAGTGGGACATACTTCTCCCGCTTGTGAGCCCGGGCGTTGGTGGAGGCTTGGCTCCAGTTCTTAAAGGGGATAGTCACATCCACAATCACAACCTTCTTGGCCTCTTTGTTGGTGACCATGATGTCAGGTCGCATCTGGCTCTCGGAGCCCGGGACAGTGTGGTTCACGGAGATCTTCCCTGCTGCAGCCAGGATGGCCCTCACCAGGCGGTCCTGGACAGCATCGTGGCAGAGCTGCCAGGCTCTGGCATGCGGCCTGCAGCTGCACAGCACATGGGGGAGGGTCTCTATTGTGTAGCTGCACCGTTGGCACCTCTTGTCCCAGTGGCCGAAGCGGATGACCCCATTCAGAGGCAGGCAGTTGAGGCAGGTGTGGTGGAGTCCCACTTTGAGGTGATGCCGAAGACCTTGCCCCGGTTGGGTTTCGCCCTCAGGTTGCCGGCATATTTGTTTTGGACGGCGTCCTTCAGGAAGGGCTCCAGGAAGATCCTTGTGCGGGGCGTCACAGTGATGCAATTGGCATGTGGGACTGGTTGCAGGGAGACTTCCAGCTCCTGGCACTCTTCGGTCCAGGTGCAGCCAATGCGCTTCCCGAGGCGACGCGTGATGTTGCGGGCTCAGCTTCACAGCGAGGGAAAGTCCCTGCCATCTCTGCCAAACCCTCCCTCCAGCGAGCCACTGAGGAAGGTGGCCAAGTCGCATCCGGTTGGCTGTCTTGCGATCCTCTTGCAGGTGGTCTCCTCAAGGGCACTGGTGGCGACGATACTTACCGTGGGGTCTGGGCAGGTCAGGAGGTGGAAGGCGTGGGTGACCACCGCAATGTTGCAGAGGTCTCCCATGCGGGGTATGTTGGCACCTCCCTGCTGGTAGAGGATGTGCAGGATCTTATTGCTGACCCTCAGCGGCAGGTGCTGCCATTTCTTCAGCAGCCAGCGGATCTTGGCATCCACCTTCTTGAGGGGGGTCTTGGGGGCTGCCGAGCCTCTCAGGACGAATGCGACGCGGGGGATGAGGAAGGTGTTCACCACATCTATCTTCTACCAGGGTGCCAGCAGGGATGAGTCCAACTTGTGGGCATCCTGCATGATCCCGTTGATGGTCTCTTCCAGTGTCTGCTTGGCCTGTTGGCCGGTGGGCATCGCCAGGTGGCAGTGGGCCTCACCGTCGCGCAAGTGCCTCATCGCCTGGCCCTGGATCATGAGAATGGAGTCCAGGACATGGCTTTTCTGCCTGCCGATGTGCAAGGAGGTTCACTTGGCAACGTTGAAGCTCAGGCCCATCCACCTAGCTGCCTTGGATGTCACGTCCAGCGTCTGTTGCAGCTGGGTAGCGTCAGGGGCAAGGAGAACAAGGTCATCAGTGTAGGCCAAGACGCTCAACTTCTGGCCGTACAGGTCAAGCCCGCTGAGGCCACCTGCACAGCTTGAAGGAGCGGTTCCGTGGCTAGGTTGAAGACGATGGGGCTGAGGGGACAGCCCTGTCTCACCCCCAATGGATGGGGATCTCTGTGGTCTCTCTGTCAGTGGCACGGACAGTCATGGTGCATCTGCCATAGAGCTCTCGCACCAGGTCGATGATGCTGTCTGGTAGGCCAAGCTCGTGGAGGGTGCCGAAGACATGACGGTCAGGCACGAAGCTGAAGATATTAGAGATGTCCAGCCATGCCACCGCGCACTGCTTCCTGGTCCTCCGGGCATTGTCCAGGGCCATCTGGAGGGTGAAGTTGTGATCGTAGCAGCCCTCCGTTGACATGAAACCCTTCTGTCTCCGACTGACGGCCCCGCCGGTCACTGGCCAGTCGGTGATGTGGGCCACCAGGCAGCTGGCATACAGGTTGGCATTGGTGGAGCACAGAGCAATGGGTCTCCAGTTGCCTGGGTCAGTCGGGTCTTCCTTCTTGTGGATGAGGACGGTCATAGCCCTCTTCCAGA